GTATGCCAATGTCGGATCCGCGAGGTCCCCGCTGCACGTTCCTCTCAGTCTAAGGCGGTGACATGTCCCTGTGGTAATCGAGGTAGTCGGTCGGCCTCGGAGCGACGGATATCTGCTCCAAGCTTCTGAGTTTAAGCAAGATGTCGATCACGATATTACACTTCTGACAAAACAACGCTGAAACAAGGGACAACCTAGATCAAGGTAGAAACAAAATGCAATAGAGTTTGCAAGGTACGGCGTATTCCGAGGTTCACCTTTCCCTCTATCAACTTGTCAGCGGAAGTGATGGATGAAAATGTGAGTTACATAGTGTTGACGCTAGAGTCACAACCGCAACTGCCGTGAGTGACTGTGTCGTCAGTGACATTCCCTGTAGATACAAGTGCATGGAATGTCTTGTTTTGGCCATACGATCTGCCAAGAAAGTTTATGTTAAGGGAAAATGCAACTGTACAGAGTTCTCTCTGACGGACGGCGTTGTACAGGGTAGCAGCCGTTGACATGGAGTCGTGGACTACGAGCCCGTTGTCCCGAGGTTAATAGAGTTTACGCGGAAAGATTCTCTCCATCTGATAACTTGTGAAGATGAGTATCGAGATTCGGATCTTTGGTTGGATCTAGGTACCGAACTCGCGGTTTGACATATGTCTGAAATGAGGTGATATTGCATTCATCGCATACAACATCTCATCAACTAACAAAGTAAAACCTCCATGACTCCGAGAGAGTCACCTAGCTCTCTTCTAAAAATGTTTCATGGCGTCTTATTCCATCATGTTAATGGCCAAGAAGCAGAGTCACCAAGTGAACAGTGCCGCTCTTTGGGATGAAAAATAGCGAGCGGCATATACAGGAAGGCTGAAGCCCAGTCAAAAGCCCGGACGGAAACCAGCTTCACGGACGAGGCCTAAGCCCTCTCTCTACGACAAGGATCCCCGCGAGGTCGAGATAAGGACCTGGGGGGCTTGCGGGAGGCTCTCCCGATAAACCCAGAATAGATGATGCCGCGGCAGAGAAGGTTTATGGCGGCGTGTCAATTCTTGATTACAGTGCATGTCGAAATGTCACAGAATGTGTTTACATGAGTTTGTGGCTTGACGTCCGAGAACATGGACGAGTTAGAGGCAGGCAAAAATAGATGTCAGCTTTTGGCGTTGTTTCCTTGAGCTCAATAGCAAGGTAAGAAGAGGCTTGAGAGGGTTATCCCTGACAGGGGTTCTCTGGACAATAGGCTGTATGTAAGTTGGAGGTCAAGTGAAACTCTTGGGGATGCTGGAGATAGGGGACCTGCATAACCTCCACGTGGAGTGCGGACCAAGAAGGGGAATGGCTGCGATGCTGTGATAAGAACTGGTGGACTTGACTGTCCTCCAGTCGAGTTGATTGCTCGACACGGACACGGCGGAAAGCAGCCAACGGACGGACAAACTCGATCCCTCTGTAAGTTAAGGTTGTGCCTCCAGGTCTAGACAAAGATCTACAGGACGGGTGGACCACGTGGGAGAGCGTTACAGAAGGTTTCACCTCTTTCACTCCACTTCCTTCACTCGAGTTTGATGTTGATCGTGAGCCTGACTGATTCATCATCATTCAGCATCATCGACGAAGGCTTTCGTGAGGCTATGCTCCACGGACGAATCTTGCTCCATAAGTCATGACGTTCCATCGTGGCGTGGTATCAGAGTGGTCTGGACTCTAGTGGTTGCGGGGATATGAGCTGAACAAGTCTTCAGGCCCTAGGGTACATGATAAATGAGTTACATGATGCCTTGGTTAGTGATGCACCAGCACGGGCAAATCGGAAGACTTGGGTGAATGGCAAGGGTTCCCGATAGAGGATAGGATGCCTCACAAACGACAGGAACAGAAGGAGAAGAGAGGCCTGTCGCGTTCTGCAGGAGGCATGTCACAATATTGATTGAATTGTTGGTGGGCGATTCATCAATGCAATGCAGCAGAGCACATCATCTCTCTGTTACCCCAGCCTTTACAAGGGTACACCATCACGAGGCAACCGTGAGAGCAAGCAATAAGCACAAGCAAGCAAGGGCCAATCCAATGGCTATGGCTCAGGATCTACAGTGCTGATCATGGTGCCCGAAACGCATCGGTTGCATGAGTGAGCTACCCAAAGAATACTATATCCGTCCCTCCATCAAGCAACGCATTGTAATTTCAACCCACTGATGCTTTGGCAAGTCAGCCACCACTCGTGTCGCGTTGGATCAGAAAAAGGTCCAGAAATTTTCGAGAAGAAAAAGCAAACGCCACAGGGAAGCGGTCAGAACGTGAGATGAAACAAAAAGCAAAGCAAAGCCAACAAACAAAAAACCCTAATCAGCCAGATACGGCACAACGTCTTCAGTGAAGTGACTTGTCGCATTGAGGTTTTGGGGCCTCCTTTCTTTTTTTCTTTGAGTTGTTGTTTCACGGAAATGGCGTTGCTGTCGACTCTTGGGGGTTCTTCAATTTACTGGGAACGAGGCTGCAGCAGCACCATCCTTGGTTGTACAGAGACAATCATCGTCATTATCATGAGATGGGGTTGAAAGTGAATTCAATAAGTAGTCATCTTGCCAAGGACTCTCACCGTAGCTGGGCGAGCATTGGATGTCACCACTCACCTACACCAGACAGCATCCACACTGATCAAATGTTTTGACCTCTTTTTTCTACCTCTCTCGCTGAGGGTTCCCTTTCCTCTTACCAAAATCCCATTTACAGGGGGCTCGCCTCTCCAAAGTGGCTTAGACACTGACCAGGCTCGTGTCATGACCCCCCCCATGCTCAGGCCAATACGATCAAAAGGCAACCCTCCAGACTCCGCACCGTAAAGTCTCGGCAGGCCATTCAGGCGCCGTCTTTCGCAGCAGAAGCCAGAGATTGGCCCATCGTCATTTCCCGCTGAAACAGGGTCGTCTGCTGGCCCGCGTTATTGCTGATGCGCTTTACTATTACGGGGTCTTGGCTCTGTCTTGGTCTTGTTCTTCTCTGAAGAGTTGAGTGGAGACGGCGACTGATACTCGGAAGCCACGTTTGATGTATCCGTATGCTCGTTACCTTTAGTAGTTAGGGGATTGGTAGCGATAGAGTTGTTCTGACTAACGAAACCAAACCAAACTTTGTGTGTGATCAAGTGCTCGAGTTGGGTTTGATTCAGTTACGTACAACTTCTGGTCATACACAGTCTGCTCAAGGTGTCAACGGTTTTGAACGGCACTTGGACTCTTGACGGACTCGAGAAACAAACGAACCCGAAGCGAGGTCGAGCAGGGTTCATCAGGTTGTCGACGTGATTGATGAACTCACTGACCTCAAAGCACAGGACAACGAGACAAGAAAAAGGAGCCCACCAGGAATGAAATCACCAGCCCTCCATTAATTAATACTCCGTATAAGTATATACGGAGTATGTATGTAAGTATGTGTTCAATGCTGTATCGCACTGAAAAGCAAATGTCATGTAATCTCTCTTGCATGCAGCTTCTTCTAGAAAGACGGCAGAACTGTTTCAGCAGGTCGTGTCATGCCCGTCTACGTAATGTAATAATATCGAACAAAAGTACGTAATTTGCTGGCGCAGGCCCTTGATATTTTTGGGTACAGCACGTCGCATGGCAGCAGACACTGACTGCACTTTAAAATTCACTGCCTGCAGAGGTGAGATGAGTTTATCGGTAGCTCCAGCCGAATTTTTTTTTTAATGGGATCCATCATCCATCCTTGGGTGTCGCAATTCAGTCGGACTCGACTTGGTAGCCCCGTCCGTTGCTACCCAGCCTGACCATAACAGAACAGACCTTACTATACTAGTCTAGGGCAGTGGTCACTCTAGCACACCCAAAAAGAGCGAGGGCCGAGTTAATCGGGCTATCGAGGATTTAGTAAGGCACGCCTGAATGGCTTAAAAGCCACTGTTGGGAGTATAGTTGAGTGCAAAGCCTACAGCGTTGAGTAGGCATCATGTCAAAGGAGCATTTCTGGGTCCCTGTTGATCCCATCTCATGTGAAACTCCCAAAAAGTACATCATCGACAGGCACGTCACTTGATTCTCCGTCTCCTGCAAAAAACAGAGTTTCTCTGAGCGAATGACGTTCCTGAAACGGCCTTGGTGATGAGCAGGGGACCCCCTGGCTGACGGAGTCACTAGCCCTCAGACTAGCCAGGACATGGATAAGTCAAGCGTGGGTCGACAGTGAGCGATCACTCCGGCAAGCCCGTTGTAATGTCTCACCCAAGTCCAGGGATTCGAAGAAAGCTTCTAGAAGGACTTTCCCTCTTCTGTCCTGTCTCTGCCTCTGCCTCTGCCTCTCTCTAGTCTCTAGTCTCTCTCCCCTGCCCTACCTACCTACACACTTCACCCATCTGCTCTACTCTCCCTCTTCTGACTGACATTGACTGACACTGACTGACTTGACCCTCTCTATTACCTGGCCTACCCATACTTTTATGTCTGCCTCCCCCATCTTCAAACAAGGACCCTTGCGTGTCTCGTCGTGTCTCGTCTATTCTTCACGCTTACATTAATTGATCTGCTCTGCTCTTCTCTGCTTTAATCACATACATACATACCCACAGACTTGCAACTATCGCATCACATTCCACAGCGTTCTCAGTTTACGACTCAACGACTAAACTACCAAGCACTAATCGTCGCGGGCTGTCGATTTCCCCTCGTTTCGCACTCACTCACTCACACGACTCGACTCGACTCGGACCGTGTTTGCTGATCTATTTCGCCGGACGTTAACTCAACTTATCGACACTCCTTGGTATCACCAGGCCTTCACCACGCCTCACGGACTCGACTGTCGACTCGACTTCGCCGACTACAACTTGATGATAGTCACATCGTCGGCGACTGTTTCCTATTGCTGACATCGACCTCCACACCAGCCGTCGCTCTTTTGTTCGAGCCACTGTTGATAGGTCACTCAAGCGCTGAGTGCGCGTTATCGCACCGTTGACCGAGTCTCGAGCACTCTTCACTCACAACATGAACATGTTTCCCTTTCCAGTTCAAGAGGACCAAGTGAGGCCTCTGTCCGAAGAGGACCAGCAGATCCTCTTGGGGCTTACCCGTCGCTACGGCGTCTCAAGTCTCGTATGCGCTCTTGGCGGTCTGGGTGCTTCATGTGAGTGATTTCCACCACACACACTATTCAATGTAAGCCCTGCTAACAATTAACAGCTCGAGCCTCCACGTTCTCGGCATCAACACTCCTCAGCAACACCAGCGCTCCCTCACTAGCATGGAGCAGTTCTGAGGCCTCTCATGCACGATCCGATGCGGCCTCGATTCGAACCCAGTCAACATGGCAAGATAACGCAGGCGACGTTCCCTCGATTCACGACGGTGAGATCGGTAAAGTTGCCGATCGCACATGGCTCGACTCGCCCAATCTCATGCAGTCACCCATCCCTTCATGCGATGTCACCTCTCACCCGTCGCCCCGGCATGTCACACCAACCTCTAAGAAATACCAGTGCCCCATGTGCTTCCTCGACAACAACCCCGTTGGTTTCGGCAGGAAAAGTGATTTCAAGAAGCATCTTTACAATTTCCACGGTGCTGATGTGACTTGGCTTTGCAAGACCAAGGGCTGCCATCTCTCCTTTGCTACTGAGCGAGCCTACAGCACTCACGCCAAGGAGACACACCGCATGGACGCCCTCCCTAACAGCACTGCAAAGACAGAGTTGTGCCCCCAGGTTGTCTTTGGTTGTGGATTCGCCAGCTGCAAGGACCGTGTCTTTGAGGCTTCTTCCAGCGACCAGGCTTCTGCCAGCCGCGACAAGTACTTTGAGCACATCGCTAAGCACTTTGAGGATGGCTTTGATGTGAACAACTGGGAGTACAAGGTTCAAGTCCACAATCTCATGCGTCAGTCCAAGGTCAAGTCTGTTTTCAAGACTTGCATCTGGCCCAAGGAGAAGAGAATGCAACTCACATGGCGCCATCGCTCTTCCGGTGATCTCAAGCGTATGCTTGAGGCCCGTCATCTCGGTGAGGATATCTCAACACTTGTGCGTCTTGCATTCATCCTGGGCACATCGCCTTTCACCAGCCCTACTACACCGCCACCAAGCGAGATTGACCTGCAGTTCTCTCTGCCCTTCCGATCTCAATGCTTGATGGACACTGTTGGCCACGCTGATGGTGCTCAATCCTCGACGGCCGAGACCAGTGAGACCAACACACCGATGGTCACTGTGACGAAGCAGGCTCCTCAAACACCGGAGGCACCTTCGTTCCCTGCCCGACGCATCAAGCAGGAGACTCGACCCACGACACCAATGGACGGTCTCCCTGAGCCTATGGTTCACGATGACCTCACTGCTGGGCCTCATCCTGGAACGCCGTTCCCCATTCCTAACGAGCATGTCTGGCCAGTGGACGCACCCAAGTTTGCTCCTGACCAGATGAACACCTTTGCTGATGCTTCCATGACCTACATACTGCCTGGTCAAGAGCTTCCTCAGCAACAATGGGACATGACTGGCATGCAACAGCACTTTCCTCAACAAGACACTGTCATGTCCAACGTCTACATGCCTCCTCAACAACCTGTAGCTGCTCGTCCTGCTACACCTATTCCTTCCAAGCGACCTGGGTCTTGGGGCAAGCGACTAAGCCTTGAGAACCTGCGTCCCAAGAAGAAGACAAGCGTGTATGGAAGCCCTGCTTCCGAGCACGAGGCTGTCCCTCCTGTGCCAGCCATGTATGCCGACATGATTCCCACGTCTATGCCAGCAGGCTACGAACTGCCAATGCGAATGGGCCACCCTCAACAAGGGTACACATCGAACCCTGGCTTCATGCCCCAAGCTCAACAGCAACAGTTCGGCTCACCCACGACTTTTTACTTGGATGACGGGGACATGAGACTATAAGGCGTTTTTTAATCTCGGAACGGAAAAGCATTCTTTGAGCATTATGATTTCATTTATTCTCTTTTTCTCAAACTCTGCATTACCATATATCTGTACTAATAATCACCCCTGAAGAGGAGGATGAGGAACATAACGACAGGATATCCATCCTCCACTATCTGACGAACTTTCTCTTGATACACATTTCCTTTCTGTCTGCCCTGGATATATCAGGGCAACCACATACCTATTTCCTTTTTTCGTCTTTTCTTGAGTGTCATTGTTAGTCATTTGTTTGCTTTGAGATACCACGGTGTTGAAGAAGGATGGAATGAGATGAGACGGGAAACCAAAGTCATGGAACGCTGCATAGGGCACAGAATTGTTTGACTGCAGCATGTTTTTGTTTTCTCTCTGTTGAATGTTGCATCTTTCGGGCGGTTTTATGCGTGGATTACTATACCGGGATAGGCAGATACCCTTGTGTGAGGCCAGCAAGCAATTGAGGATATTTGCTCTGGCGGGATACATATGAATAGATAGGGAAGGAAGCATGTCAGCGAGATATATGAATTAATAGAATCTTGAAGATTATCTTTTGTGCCGTTTGCCCAAGTGAAGTCTCTGTATTGACCAACCGCATAACCAAATATTTCGCTATCTTGAGTGAATGACAATGCTTATCCTTTGCTGTAGCTCATGTATTGTGTCGGTTTGATCTTGCAGCCATGCTTCATTGAATCTGCAACTGTCCAGGACACGCGTGTCCTGGGACAACTGAATCGAGAATTACGATCGACAGCCACCCGGTTCGATGTGACATTCTCAACATGTCAGACTTTATACATCAAGATGTGATAGCAACAAAGCAGCTGCAGGAACACTTGATGCCGCCTCCCACAGCGGAGCATCCTCGACTTGGGAAGCAGATCTCAGTCGTATTTCTGTCCAACATACATATGGCTTGGGACATTCCCCATGAAGAAACGAATGGAAAGTTCACTACAAGCCAAAGCTTGATGAACTCGAGCTTGGTGATAGTCTACTCGCCTGTGGTGATCATCCTCTTGAAGCTACTGACTGCATGACGCTCCTCTACGGGAGGCAAGAAAACTTAGGGTCTTTATCCTAAAGGCTGAAAAGCTTAGGTAAATTTAGTATAAGTTTAGTTGAACTTAGGTGAGTTATGTCTACTATGCTAGCTTGATGTCAGAAGTTCTATCCTCCCATGAATCACACGAAGTTCTCGTGAAGATGATAAAGGGCCAAAGCTGCACCGATAAGGAAAACGATACACCCAGAGGAAGGAATTGAGGCCCCAAAATCCACGGGTATCTTACGCATAAAGTCTGTTTGAGAAATGGTGATGTACTGGCTGAGTGACAGTTGCCAGGGTCAAGGTATCAGCGAGGCGGGAGCATCATGGAAACAATTGAGCAATTAACAGTAAAGTCACAGATTAATGACAACGAAGAGAAGCCACAGGCGATTTTGTCACTAAAAAGTATCTCTTTTCTGGAGGTTTGTGAGGTGGCAGGTTTACGGTTTTGGTTGTGAGTCACAGCAGCCTTGAGGCGCGGCTTAGCAGAGGGACAGCGTTTGTGACCACGAGCTCTGGTAATGAATCGCAAGCTGGACCTATGGGAAGATAAGGAGGTGGCGAAAATGTAGTACGGTATTCTGTGGGAGACGTCGCTTTCGTTGTGCCGTTTGGACTGATTCAGTGACATCGCAACCCTTGAGGCTCAACGGGCGTTGGTGGAAGCGAGATAAGAAGCCTCCGGCGACACCAGAGGCTGCAACATGAGAAGAAGTTTAATCTATATATTGGTGACAAAGTCTGAGAACATACAGAGTCCAGGTAGAACGAGAGTGTGGTCATGGGTGAATGGTACTCGGAGTGCGCCACGAAGCATTTATCCTGAGAAGAGTCAAAGTAGTGTGAAAGAAGGCTCGATGCTCTAAGCAAAATGCGAAGACGGAGTTCCATGTAAAATGGGATCATTTTGGGGAATTGGTGACTGAGTTACACAGTCGTCGTCGTTGATGGATGCTGTGGATAGGAACACCAAGGCAAGGGATCATCCATACAATGTCGATCACGATGCAGAGACAGACAAAACGTCTCACAGTTTGCTAGAAACATGACATATGGGGAAATAGCTCAGTAAACAACAAAGTCTGGCGCAAAGACGTGCTGCGCTTGTTCCTACAATTGGGCTCACGTAAATGGGGTGCCTACATATACTGATTCAAAACGGAGCCTTTCACCAACAAAGCTCAAGCAAAGCAGCTTGGCGCAGTGGAAGCGCGGTATGTTTCTTCTCCACTATGTGACTCAACAACAGAGTACTAACATATCACAGCCGGGCTCATAACCCGGAGGTCACTGGATCGAAACCAGTAGCTGCTATGAAGCATTTCTTTTTTTACAATTTCTTTGTTCTGTGATTTTTGACTGTTGGTTGACGCCAAAAACCAGCACCAAGCTGGTTTCCCTGTGGAACCACCATTTGGCACCCTTTTATTTTTTAAGGCCGATACCGACTGTAAGCGGAATACCCGAGTTCCCCAGTAATCGGCCTTGAAACGGCTGATTCCACGATATGAGTTCTTGGTATCTCAAATCAATCTTGTGTGCCGGGTTCGGCACGGCACAATCGTGAAGTGGATCCCCGGCTCCGGAACGGACAGCCGGTTTGGCATTCTACTGTAGAGGAGCCTTGAATGTTTCTGCAACAACTTGTGAATGTAACATGAGCTTAATAATATTCCAGGCAATCTCTCACCTTAATCAAGTAATACAAATCACAGACTGGTGAATTTCCAGGCATTTACCAAAAGTGTCTCAGAACTTCAATTCACAACCCCACAGAAGTATGTTAATAAGGAGAAAACTGGTACTTATTAATGCGCCAACTGCCCTATCTGTTATCCCCGGCTGCTGAGAATATTAGATAAAACCTCCATTAATAATACCACCATGTTCTCTGACTTATCATCTAGAGTCTCTTCCACCTTAGAGTGTTGGACATCACGCTGTCACGTGGCCCCAAACAATAAGTGGACCCAGCGCCCATCGTCGCCCCACCTACACTGTATGTTCTCCAAACTCAATACCCTTGTAACTCCATCAAAACGTATCGGATTGACATGAAAAATATCGCAATCGATTCTCCTTAATCAGAAGAACAAGGAGAAAATATTAAAAAAAATCCAAAAAATCTCCCACGACGAGACTCGAACTCGTAACTTTCAGATTTCAATGTTTTGTAAAAGTCTGACACGCTAACCAATTGCGTCACGCGGGATTTGACTGGTTGGAGGAAGGAGCACCATAATTTGGAATTCATTCGAAGGTGCGGCAGGTGCGTGAAGCATTGCACCTTCCTTTGTTTTCCCTGAAGCTGTCCGCAGATAACACTCTCGAACTCCCAACTTTCATATTAAAAATCTGACACATTAACCAGTCACTTAAGTGGTGATGCTTCATTTATTGAAAGATCATTCTCCAAGTCGCCAGACTATACTCTCTGGCGGCTCGTTCTTGGCGAAGCCACCAGGCTCATGAACCACCGTCATGTATTTTGACCAAGCGGTAGGCCACTCTATTGCGACCACAAAGACTGTAATGTAAACAATCCACCGTGTACTCTAGTAAACATGAGAAAGCCGTAGTGCACTTAGCGCTGTTTTCACAACGAACCGTGAGTTTCAATTACTGCCTGCTCGCGAGCCTCGGGGAGCAAGAAAACACTGGGTATCCAAATAAACTCAGTAAAGGAGACCCTAAGTTTAGTAAAGATATCCCAACTTTATGTAAAATCACCTAAGTCTTTTTCTCACTTAGGATTAAGATCCTAAGTTTTCTTTCCTCCCCTTGGCGAGTAACATAAACTACCTAACATATTACATAGACCACTGCCTGTAGGTGTGATCCTACTGACAACTCATGCCAGTGTTGTCGACCTTTGAACCGTCTCTGGACATGTTCTAGAGCAGTACAAGAAGCTATTTGTTTATGGTCTGCAATGGGGATCTATACAAACCAGATTCTTGGACGTTTCTGTACCACTAATACGGTGGCATTCAATGTGACATCGTTTTCGCTATGGGCATGGACCTAATTCTGGTGAACGGAAACAATCGTGCTGTGAGTGAAAGTGGCAGGGTCTGGGCTTTAAGTCTCTTTCACCTCGCCCTGTGTCGCGTATCCATCGAGGGCATCGTTGGAAGGATGTCGACATGGAAGGAGATTGCTCTCGTCCTGGCTCTCTTTCGTCCTTTCGTAGTTCGGTTCTGAGTGTACCTGACGACGTTCAACTGTTTCTTCCATTTCCTTCACAGGCTGTTCCTTTCCATTCTCACTGCTCCTTCGATACATAGGTACCTAGGTAGGTACCTAACCGGGCATGCAGAGTCATTGACGCCTGAGGCACACCGTGGTTTCTATCCAAGTTCTGTCGTTCAAAATTTTGTTCTCAACCCCACCATCCTCACCACCACGCACCATCATCACCATCATCATCACCACCACCACCATGCCTGATCCCCTGCCCGACGTTTCCGGTCTTCTTGCCCTCCTGGAAAGGTACCGGGCCCGCAAGCGGTCCGGCCTTCCAGGAGGGTTTGCGACTGAAGAAGAGATTGCCTTCGCTCAGAGGGATTCCCCCATCAATGGGGAGCGTATTGCTCCTGGTCCCTGGCCAGATTCCTCATCCTCCCTTCCCACCCCACCTTCATCCCCCTCCTCGTCATAAAGGGTGTGTCGGTGTTGTCTTGTGTGTCTTTTTGGGAATCTCTTTTTGTCGTTTTTTTTTTTGGAGCGAAGATTTGGTGTCTTGGGCTTCGCCTCTCCTTTGATTTGCTCCCGGGAGCTGTTTCGTAAACCATTCGCCAAAGACGACCACTTGAACAAGAAGAACGACAAAAAGCCCATTAAGATCTCCCAGGAATCTCCATAAAAAAGGTTGGTACCTGAATGTTAAGCAAACTACTGCAGCTGACCTCCAATAGACAGTTTTGTTCATGACCAACCACCCGCGTGCTGCTTCTCAAATTGGATGCCTTGCCTAGCCTTATACCATACCTTTCGAACCACGGCCTCACTTCTCCATCATCACTTCTTGATTTTCTCTCTTACCCCCTTTGCATTCGCAATAGGCGTCGCGTCATCGTTGAGGTTGTCCGCCGGCTCCCTTTTGTTCCAAAAATGGGAGAAGAACCAGCTTCGGTCTCGCAATCGCTTTCCCTCCGCCTTAAATACATGCCGCCATTGAACAACCGATCCACACGCCTTTGCGCTTCGACTTCGTTGTGGCGGTCAACCTGGGTTACCAGCTTTCACCTCACGCTGACCAATTGCGTTACCGGGGGTTTGGCTGATCAGTAAACCCCACTAATGTATTTGGCAGCGGTCATCAGTAGTCGAAGCAGATACATAAAACATTGCCGCTTTGCACTCTTCCAATTAGAGATCTGTCTTCGGCCTTAGACCTTCTGCACTGCTCATGTGCTTGCATTTGTCTCACTGAAGCCACTGCTTTTCAGGGTACCTAGGACGTCATGGTAGCATCGGCTTGGCGGTCTAGAAGCATGTTGGATAACTAAAGGCCAACTCCAATGAGATAACGCTGTACACCCCTGCGCCATCTTGCAGGATCGGACTAAACAAAAGGCCTTTGGATTCCCCCTCGGACTACGTGGCCCTCTGACTACTGATCATTCCTCGAACTTTCTCCTGTTGTCACAATTTGAGAACTCTAGCAATGCCGGGCTATCAGCTTCAGTCACCTTGCCGCGCGGAGGATGGCCTACAAATTGCGCAGAGTCAGGTCTCAGCCTTCTTTGAAGAAGCATGGTGGAGATTATCATGGACTGACAGAACTCGTGAATCATTGATCCAGAGTATCGCAGATCGAAGTCCCAAGAACTTGCTCACCAAACGAGAAGTTCGGAGGCATCAAAAGATAGTTCACCTCGAAACTGGAGATATCGTTGGATACGCACGGTGGATCCTCCCCGAGTCTCACACAGACGCTTGGCTTGAAGCGCAAACGCCAGACGTGAGCGATGAACAGAAGGAAGCTTTTGCAAAGCGTCATGCCGAAACCGACTGGAACCCACGCGAGGATAACGATAAGTTGGATGATCATATTGACGGTTGGAGAGATAAGCACAAACAGGAAATGGACATGGGTAAGAATTACCAAGAGAATGTCGCACCAACTTGGTTAAAATTAACGCCCAATAGAATTACACTACCTCTGCGTCCATCCAGATCATCAGCAAAAGGGACTAGCAAGTTTACTTGTCAACTCAGGTCTCAAAGAAGCCAAGAAGTTAGGCATAGATGTTATAATCGTGGCCATGGGCCGGCGAGCTCTTGGTCTCTATTTGAAGCACGGCTTTGAACTGCTTGAGGAGAAGAGCCAGAGTATGAGTTACTTTGGGGTAGATGAACTTTACGAGACATTTTACTTGAGAAAGAAGGCCGAGAAGTGATGGCGAGGAACTCCTGTATCATCGAACATTATCGACTATACATCAACGACTTCCCCTGCTCAAAGAAGCCGAGAGACGTTCAGTGGCTGGCCCTGTCATTCGTTGGTGCAGGGGGACTAGTTGAGATCGATCTGGCTATATCAATAAACTAATGCACGTCTTTTCTTGGCACGCGCTGAAAAACGTATCTCATAGACATGATTTGACACTAGTAGACCCAACTCTATGCCTCCATGCTCTTATAAGTTGGACTTAATCTTTCCAGCAAGACCCTTCACCTCGCTAGTGAATCGATACACAATATTATCAAAGCTATCCTCGGGGAAAACGTAAAGCCAGCTCAGCTCGTTGTCGTTGCAGAACACACCGTGCTCTGCATCTCCTGGTATCCAAACGAGGTTGTTCTTGGAAACTGGGTATCTTTGCCCTTCAATTTCGACTTCTCCAGACCCAGATAGAATGTAGTAAAGTTCTGCCTGCTTGTGGCGGTGTAGTGCTAGAGTTCCTTGAGGGGGACATGTAGCAATGCCTGCAGTAAGTGAGGTCGTTTTTGTTCCTGGAGAAGACAACAGAGTGTGCCAGGTTGCGTCTCCTCGACCCTTTTCAGCGAATGAAGACGGAGTATTTTGCGACTTGGCACCAACGTCGACGATTAACGGCTTGGAGGATGACATGGATGCCAATGATAGCAGCAGTCAGGCTGTTGACGGAAACGGAAGAAACAGTGACCCGATGAGACGATCCGAATAGGTTTATAGCCAGAACAGCTCAAGGATTTCGACGGGAAGTCTATTTCTTATAGGTTAATGTCTGATACCAGAGCCAATAATGTATTTCAAACTTGAGACAGGGTCGACGACGCCTTACACACATCATCTGACGCAAATAGAAAAACGACACGGCCCGATAACCATAAAGGGTAAACAAACACGACTTGTCTGCCGGAAGTCTCCAGAATTATATGCGATAATGATGAAAGAGCCACATCATTGAGGGGCTCGCACCAATAAACATCAACTAAGTTGCTGTGACATTTGCACTAGACTCGGAACTGATCTAGGAGATCAAGTCTTGCATTAGCTAATGGTTAGGGTTGCGATATAGTTTTCTTGGCTTGATAAATATTATCTTTGCCCGTAGACATTGCTATCATCAGATAAGTTACTGGACTCCGTGAATGGGCGAGTTATCAATTTTGATGAAATGACACGCTCCCAGACGAGGCTTGGAACTATCAGATGGTGGCGTAAGTGATCGAGCCGTAAAGTCAAATGAATGAGCCAATGATTCAGAGGCATGGTGTTTGTAAACTAGAAACTTGGGTAGTTCCATATCGCTGAGGTCTTTTTCACGCGTTGCACGCGATCTTGAAGCTAGTTACAGTATTCTCTAGATGCAGCAACATCAAATATCTGTCTTGGCAAAAAGATATATTTCTCAAAGGCGAGATGTCTTGAGTCACAAGTATGAAGGGGAAAAACTAGACAAGAGGTCCTCTTGAGCTTTGATTATTATGAAACCCCATGCAGTAGATTCTGGCGAAGCTAACAAAACCACCAGACTAAATCCTTCAGTGCTGGACCAAGAGCAAAAAGGAGAAGTCTCTTTTCGAATGGATTGTTCTGGCTTTCGGTTCCTTCAATAAGTCAATTCAAGTCGTCTACTACAGGAAAGGCTTGCGTAGGGTTAAATCTCATGGCAAAGGATATCACTATGACTTGGATATCTGAAAAACGAGGAATCCAACTACTACTTTTCATACATCTCAAATGAAATTAGATCCTGAAGAGAGTGACTCAACACGGTAATATTGTTCTTTTACGAGTATCAGTCACCTGAGGCTCTACGGACTGTCGTCTTGTCCTGGCCAACCAACTCGGTGATATTGATCAGAAGAGATATGCCTTGGAGAGCAACAAAGCTTCAGATGCTGGATATACGGATCAGAGTAACTAGGTAGCCGAAGAAACACCTGGTCTTTTCATAACCTTACGATTTGGTCGCTCAGAATGAGGTCATGAATTTTACTTCCCTGATTACAAAGGGTCTCTCTCAATATCTACAAGCTATAATCTGAAATCCAAAGCACGAAAAAGGAAACCAGGCAGTAGAGGTGTTCCAAAAGTGGGATCGACGATATCTGCTCGTGAGCCTCATTCAAGATCAAGAGGTTGGAGTTTGTGGGGAAGCTGTAAAATATGGGCCTCGCCATCGCCGAAAACAGGACCAAGAAATGTGCCATCTTCACATGGCAGCGGCCAAGATCCGAAATGAAACCACCATCAGGAACGATTCACGGCGTTGATAATATCATGATTGACTGAGCTTGGGTCTCAAGAGCCCTAGCGTGACAGATAAGCCAGACATTGTAAATACTATTTTACTCAAGCCCAATGCTGGGAGTCCCTTCATGCTAGAAACAAGAGGCACAAATCGGGGAGCAAAATGGTTCCGAATGCACAGATCCATCTCAAGCTAGGGCGGAAAAGGTAGTGGAGGATTAAGGGAGCTGCAGGACCAAGTTCCCCCGCTTAGTCTACCACTTCCCCGACGTCAGAGCACCAATGTCACATACGCCTTGCAGGGTCTGAGGATGAGATGGAGATAATGGTAAGCAGATTGTTCCCGTTGCAATGAGTCAACGTCCTCCAACGTCGGCAAATGTCATGGTCTGAGAAACGGTAGATACAACGCCAGAACAACTGCCAGAGTACAAAACTGAGTCGACTTTGCGTTCCCTTGGTCCAGCTAACGCTGCTAGAGGCCCTGCTAGGCCGTTCTCGCAGCCAATCCAGCCAATCTGAGGGTCTGGGTAGGTGGCGATATCGGCCATTCATCTAGACCGTGATTGGCTTAGCAGGCCACCATCAGGTCTGGACAACTGCGGTGCCCCTGTAACCGTAATCCCACCTCGATTGGGCTGGGGGAGGTTCGGGGTGACAAAATATACCTGACACGGGAGTCTACACTGTAGTGCAAACTCACGTCTTTACGTCCTCGACCTTTTTGACACCACCAAGGGGAGTCACCTACCCTCAACCCCACACTTGACCTTGGCCCCACCCCGGCCACCGGCCCTCCGATGAACAATTGCTGAGGTGCTCGCTGTGATATTTTCTCCCGGGCTCGCCCTCGTTTCTCTGGCCTTTTTTAGCGGGCGAAACTCAAAACACTTTTTTCACTTCTCGCCTCCAAACACCCTCGCGATCAGTTTTCTCCCCTGCCTGTCCCCTCCAGGTTTTCAATTGATCATCGACTCTTGATCTCCAAACCTCTTGCGCTTCTCGAGCCTCGTGGCTCCTCTCTAATTGCTCTTCCTCTCACCGAGCTCTTCACCTCCACAATGCTCCGAACTCGCCAGGCCGCAAAGGCCATCCGGGCCGTCGCCAATGCCCGATCCTTCACCACCACATCAGCCGTTGCTTCCATTCAGACTTCAAAGAAGGTCGCCAGTACCAGGAGTCAATCCACTGCTGCTGCGTAAGTTGAAGCTTTTGTTCTGGTGGCGGTTGTGCGTTGCCCCGCGTCTGGTACCTGACATGGGGGGCAAAACTCTCACGCGCACTTTACAAAACGTAATTGGAGACAGCAAATGCTAATACATACGATTGTAGACCTGCACGCGATATCCCCAGCCCAGGCTTCAATGTCGAGAAGAACCAGAGCAATGTCCAGCCTCTGGTCAACCCCCGGAAAAATGACATGGATGAGTCGTATGCAATCCTCCAAACTCAATGTGATGACATATTCTGACAAACTATTGGCAGTTTCATTGGAAAGACTGGTGGTGAAATCTTCCACGAGATGATGCTCCGACATGGCGTGAAACACATCTGTACGTCCGCCGCCCTACATGCCACAATCAATGCTGATTCAATATAGTTGGATACCCTGGCGGTGCCATTCTCCCTGTTTTCGATGCCATCTACAACTCAAAGCACTTCGACTTTATCCTCCCTCGCCACGAGCAAGGTGCTGGCCACATGGCTGAGGGTTATGCCCGAGCTTCTGGCAAGCCCGGTGTTGTTCTCGTCACATCTGGTCCCGGTGCTACAAATGTCATTACACCTATGCAGGATGCTCTGTCTGACGGTACCCCCATGGTTGTTTTCACTGGTCAGGTCGTGACAACTGCCATTGGTAGTGATGCTTTCCAAGAGGCCGACGTTGTCGGTATCTCTCGTGCATGCACCAAGTGGAACGTCATGGTCAAGAACGTTGCCGAACTTCCTCGACGCATCAACGAAGCTTTCGAGATCGCCACCAGCGGTCGCCCCGGTCCCGTCCTCGTCGATCTTCCCAAGGATGTTACTGCCGGTATCCTACGGAGAGCTATCCCTACCGAGACTGCTCTGCCTTCTCTGCCCAGTGCTGCTTCCCGCGCTGCTATGGACGTGACCAAGAAGCAGCTAGAGGGTGCCCTCCAGCGCGTCGGCAACCTCGTCAACAAGGCCAAGAAGCCCATCATCTATGCTGGTCAAGGCATCATCCTTTCCGAGGGTGGTCCCGAGATCCTCAAGGAGCTCGCTGACAAGTCCTCCATCCCCGTTACCACTACTCTTCAGGGTCTAGGTGCCTACGACGAACTCGACGAGAAGTCCCTGCACATGCTTGGTATGCACGGCTCTGCTTATGCCAACATGGCCATGCAGGAGGCCGATCTTATCATCGCTCTCGGTGCCCGATTCGACGACCGTGTCACTCTGAGCATTGCCAAGTTCGCTCCCGGTGCCAAGGCCGCTGCTGCTGAGGGCCGTGGTGGTATTGTCCACTTTGAGATCATGCCCAAGAACATCAACAAGGTTGTTCAAGCAACCGAGGCCATCGAGGGTGATGTCGCTACCAATCTGAAGGAACTTCTGCCTCTGATTGAGTCCAAGACCATGGAGGACCGCAAGGAGTGGTTCAACAAGATCAACGAATGGAAGAAGAAGTGGCCCCTGACCGACTACGAGCGTGCCGAGCGCTCTGGTCTCATCAAGCCCCAGACTCTGATTGAGGAGCTCAGCAACCTCGTTGCCGACCGCAAAGACAAGACCTACATCGCCACTGGTGTCGGCCAACATCAAATGTGGACTGCCCAGCACTTCCGATGGAGACACCCTAGATCCATGATCACCTCTGGTGGTCTTGGTACCATGGGTTACGGTCTACCTGCTGCCATTGGTGCCAAGGTGGCCCAGCCTGATGCCCTTGTTATTGACATCGACGGCGACGCTTCCTTCAACATGACCCTGACTGAGCTCTCCACTGCTGCTCAGTTCAACATTGGTGTCAAGGTCATTGTTCTTAACAACGAGGAGCAGGGTATGGTCACACAATGGCAGAACATCTTCTACGAGGATCGATATGCCCACACTCACCAGAGCAACCCCGACTTCATCAAGCTCGCCGAGGCCATGCGCGTCCAAAATCGACGTGTCTCTAAACCCGAGGACGTTGTCGATGCCCTGAAATGGCTCATCAACACCGACGGCCCTGCTCTGCTGGAGGTCGTCACCGACAAGAAGGTGCCTGTCCTGCCCATGGTTCCTGTCGGTTCTGGTCTACATGAGTTCCTCGTCTTTGACGGAGGTAAGTTACACGCTCCCACAAAATACAAACAAATGCTGACCCCTGTTTTAGCCAAGGACAAGAAGAGACGTGAGCTGATGAGAGAGCGTACCTGCGGTCTGCACGGCTAAGCTTGAACCCCAGCTTAACCACGAGCCGCCACCAATCTGATACCATCTATTCCATCATGTCCTTTTTCTTAACTTTCTTGATTCCATCTACTTGCGGAGTTTTATGTTTACTGGGTTTTGCCGGCGGGCAAAAGTACCTTTTGGGGTCTATGATGATCAGCGCATGAGAGACCAACAAAAAAGCTGGAGGCTGGATTGCATTGAGTGTGGGAGGAGGGACTTGTTCATGTGTAGGATCAAATGTACACATGATGCGCGCGAGGACGCGTGAAAAAATGAGGATGAAGAGTTACGCCGAGGGCGTTTTTATATACCACCACATAATGAATGCTGTTGTGATAACACCTGAGCTATTGCGTCTTGGACTATGTGTACTTTGCAGAAGGTGTGGGTTTCTCCCGAGTCCACCAATTGAGGCATCTTTTGTCAGGCTTGAACAATGCGATTGTCGAATATACTCGGCTCCCAGTGTGGAGGCAAAGGTCGACGGATGTGGCAAAGAGCAGTCTCTTCTCCTGAAGCCTTGTTAAAGCGCATAACCTTGCAATCCAGTCGCACTTGAAGTACACAAGAATTGTAGTAGATAGTAAATTAAATGCCCGATGATGGATGCATGTAGGAGAGATGTCGCGCCAACACATTGCCGTGTGCTTTGCTTGTCCCCAGTTACCAAGTGCAGCATTTGGAAGTGGACGGCACCGACTGCTCAACAAGGCAGCCTCAGTGCGGTTATTGAGACGAACAATTAATCACATTGTCCTCTTACGTGCGAGAATGGTCAGATGGGTGAATTATACTTGCTCTGACGTTCCGGATGATGGCTGAGAACGTACAGCCGTTGATGAGTAGTACCAAGATGTTTCATAGCCGAGATATGACGGCGCCATGTCAGTTTTCCTGTACCTTCCGCTGTCAGTTGAGGAGGAGAATGATGTAGCACCTCCGAGTTATTATAGGAAGACTTCGTTAGTGATGGACTTCGTCTGAGTCGAGCTTGTGAGGGCTGCGATTGGAGACAACGTCGAAGCTTGCCAGAGATTGCACAACTTGGCTTCCATTTCCGAGGGTGAGTGGGTTCAAAGCACGTATAGTTTAATTTTATTGTAGAAAAGGTCTGTATTGCTTTAATTCACCTCAATAGTTGCGTTGCGTTTAGTGTTTAGTGTTTCTATAGAATAGAACTTTGTAGCAGATGCCTGATGCCCCCAGCCAACCACGTCGGCTGACATTAAAGCTTGCTTGTACAACCACACAACAGAGTTGGCTCATCATGGAGGCTGCAGCAAAACAAACCCTGGTGAGCCAAATTAAGAAGTATTAAGTTGTCTCTGAGAGTGGAAACACTCAAATCAGTATATAAATAAACCCGTGCCTTGCCCTTGCAGTCCTGCTCGCTCCTCTACACCCCTGGTGAGTTTAAAGGGCTATGCTGACTGGACAGAGTAAGTTTCCTAGTTCTACAACTATTTTCTGAAAGCACGTCACTCATCAAGATTTCACGCAACAGATTCAAGAGGGATGCCAAACTGGCACTGGGGGGATGTTTAGTACACAGGCAATGATGGACAGTCCTCAATAATGGAGTTTCACTAAACACATTTGGACACTAACTGAGCCTGGAGATGGCGGCACATATCGGGTTTGACCTTCACGATGCAAGTGGACTTCACAGTGGGATCTCGGGGGAAATGTTCCAGCTGGACTAAGCCCAGTGGGCGAACCCAATGCCACGAAATGAGCAGACTATTTAGCCAGTCACTATGGTGTCAGCATATATGGGGTCGTGACTCCCCTGATGCTGACGGGCAACCTGAATTGTTCTTGCCCTTGTTGGGGTACGGTGGCAGCCATTGAATGGACTGTCCGTTGACCAAGGGCATGTGAGACGGTGATGATCATTGACTAAAGTCAACATTCTGAGTCTCACAGGGGGATAAATGAAGGTCAAATACATGAGAATGCTGGGGGTACAGGAATGTGCTGAACAAGAAATGATGACGCTGGATGCAAAGACGGATACGCTGAAGAAAGGACATTACAAGAAGGGCAAATACATGAGGGCGCTGGGGAGTACAAGACTGGGCTGAACATGAATGAATGAGTGATGATGAAGGTGACGAAGAAAAGAAGGAGAGAAGACTCGGAGACTGAGGGGACCGAGTTTCATGGTCGGCCACGAAGGCCTTGAGGGGGAAGGAACGAGGCTGTCTCCTTCCCGCCACGATCACAAAGAGCCTGGCAAGTGAGGCAACAAGTACTTGTAGCAGTTGAACAATGGAAGGCGAGATGAGAGGCAATTGCGAGGCCCCTGAAGACAGGAGATGGGTAATGGCGATATCCAGGTAAAGCTAAACGTGCTTGGTCCAAGTCATCAACTGGCGACTCACATCGACCTGGGAGTAATAGAAGTATACTACTAGGAACTAACACAACATTGATGTCTTAACAAAGCGATCCAGATATTTCTGCAACTAGAGATGGTCGAAAGAAGTATGTGTGGACATCAGACACGAGCAACTCGACTGTCTTTGCAACACCAATTGGGACCCGAAGGGGAGGCCACTGAGACGGACCCCATGGGCCACCCAGGGAGAAACACCGTCATCACTGCTACGAAACTAAGGAAATTTTCTCCATGGCAGTAAGGCTGCCTGAAGAGTCTCGCTTGGAGACTACCAATACATGCCTGTGGGTTCCTCTGCACAGGGTTGTCATCGGATGACTTACCAGGCTTGCATTGTAACTTCACACCCTGCATCTGAGGGCATAAAAAGACACAAGTGACGACAAAAGTAAGAGTCCATCATATTCAATGTTTGACTGCCTATAATTTGGGCTTGAGCCATGTATCACTAGGCCCTTCGGGTGGTTCGTATGTCAAGCAGTAACTCGCATGCGACAACTGAGACGACTACAGTCTGAAGAAAAACACATTGTTCAATTTGGTACGTGATATGTAAGCAGCAGATTGACTACCAACTCAAGGTGAGAGAATACCACAAAACGCGATCCTACTCAACTCCCTAAGCAGAGCTCAAAGTGCAAGATAGACCTCCCAGCATGATGTCCACCTCACCAAGGCATCAACAAACCAGCTCCAGTCAGCAATCCGACTATCAATGCGACCCCTGAAGCAACCCCTCCGACCTTTGACAGAGTCGACGCGGCATTATCATCGTCCTTAGCCTTCCCATCCTCGTCGCCCTTGGACCCATTCTTAGCGGCCTTGACATCTTCAGCTTTGTAGATCATCTCAACCGCAGGAAACTGTCTAGCAATAACCATGGATGCAACCAAACTGGGATCACTCCACTGTTCAGTCAACGCAACCGTCTCTGTAGTATGTGTTATGTCGGGGAGGAAAGAGAGAAGCCCGTCTGTATCAGAAACAGGTTCACCCTCGACAGTGTGGACGGTGACAATGGCCGCAGTCTCGGCGACTCCCTCATAACAAGCGCTGTTGTAGCCAGCTGAAAGAGCGGGGGCAATGGAGGACCTGCAATATCCGTAGGGGAGAGAAGCCCAGCCGCTGCGAGCGATGGAGTTAGTGTACAGTAGAACAGACTATCTGAGAGATCGACATACCTTGGGCAGCACCACGCCAGGGTCTCGGAAGGCTCCAAGACTCTGAGCCACCATTCATCAGAGCCCATCTGCAGGGGGCGCGATGAGTTTACGCTCATCGTGGAGGTAAATACACCACTTCTATACGCCGATCCAGTCTTATCACCGTGTGCAAGTAATCCAGCGGTAGTCCAACCTTCAGGGCAGTGGATTCCAGGAGAGTGAAATGCATGAATGCCTTGCCCAGACTTTGGGTAACTGTACTCTTTGATGATGGAATCCATGGCAGCCCCAGAAGGAAGACATTTTCCATAAGGGTCAATTACACAGTCAGGGGAACCAAACCCATATACCAAAGAGCTCTCGAGGGCATAGACGAGATGATCGGTTGTTGCCCTGGTGCATTCCGGAGGAGGCGTGTAAGTCGTAGTGAGAGGACCAATATTGCTGACAGATATGCCAAAGTATTCGGTAGCAGTAGGCATCTTGGCTGAAGAATGATCTCGTGATATTTGAATAATGTGAAGTGGTTGTGATTGACGAGATTTCATGTATTGGTGTTATCCTGAAGCTTATATACAGTTTGATCATGAATATATCCGGAGAACTATCAGCTGTCTCCTCCCCACGGGTAAACGGGACGAGTTTCCAGACAGCTGGTATGATTTTGAGGCTTAGGCATTGCGTAGCACATCATGTTTGGTACCAAGAGCTTCTTAGAGTGCTCTCCATGGCCTCAAGACCCGGCCAGTTCCCATCTGAGCTTGGTGTAAGGCACAGCATGCATACCCTTGCATGAATGCGAGGCCGAGACCCTGCAATAATTCGGGGAGGGAGCCAACTTTGATGAAATATACGAAATTTGTGTTGATTGAATCATATCATGATTTATTAATTGTTAATGGCCACTTGTTATGTCACTGCTTCGCCTGTACGGACTGTTGTGTGGCCGTGGTTTGGAACTCCGTCTCATCTGCTAAACCAGGATTCCCATACTTGAACCCCCTCAATGATGTCAATATCTTCTATTTTCCAGTACCAATGGTAACCTGAATAATAGTGTTATCACGCATTGTCTTTTGCCAGAAGCACAAACAACTCATAAGTGTCATAGTCTTCCACTGCATGCCCCCATTCCATGCGTGGCACCGCTACCAACAAGTTGAAAAGTTCCAATCACCGCTTCCAGCCCACACAGCCACAACCTAGTGACCGTCTTTTGTAATTTCATTTCCCCGTTCTGGTTCATCGTTGGGGTTGCTGTCATTAGGCTCTTCGGCTCCGTGGCCCAGCCGGACAGGCTTCCAGCCATATCTTGATGCTCCGACGCTTTGACTTCGCTACTGTAGGAATGCATCCATTGGATTCATTCGGTACGTCGGTCTGTGTCTTGGCCAACTTGTATGCCAAACCAGTATCAGCCCTTGAATGTGTTCCTGTGCCGTGGGATTACTCTGCCTGATGATTCGAATCCATGGGTAGAGGGGAGGAGGATACCGCAGTCGATTCTTCATTTGCCTTCAAGCTCAATACCGGCGAGGATAGGAGAATCGGAGCTGGGGGTATCGTGTAGGAGCAGCTGCCCGAGCCTCCCAGCAGGAAAGCCTATGGACTCGAGGTTCTCTTTTGGATATTCCTAGGCAAGCGATGATCTTAGTTGAAAGCCCTTCTGGCATAAGGCGCGTAGTACACAGGAAATACCTCGTCGGACCGAACGAGGCAACATTTCGGGTACAGATTTTGAGTCAGAGTGTCACATTGTAGTGATTTGAGGAAGGTGATCGCAGGATCTCTGGCGTTGATCATCGTTTGACGAGAGGCGCCTGAACTTGACCGTTTGCCTACGCGTGAGGCCGATGGCTTGTATCTGTCGTGTACTGGAAAAATATCAGCTGGTGAAACTGGAGAAAAGTTCAAGACAAAGCGTTCCATCTCACCAGGAACGGCACAGTCAGGATGTCCTCAACACAAAATCTCAGAGATGTGCTGGCTGTGCCGCAGGGAAGCAAGCTGATAGAGAGGCAGAATTTGTTGTAGTGCGCACAATCTAAGCCGAAGACTCTGCAATAGGGCTGAGTTGACACGGGCCACTCAGGAATGCCCATCATACAAGTGGACTTCCGAATGCCTTCATATAGGCGAATATGCTGCATAGCACAAGCTCGATGATGACTAGGTTGCTGCCAAGTATTAGCATTTTCACAAAATCAATCTCGGAAGAGATTACCCAGAACTGTGGCAGTTGATGGTATGTGCTGATCTGTGACTGGCCTCGACAGCGGCAGGACAAACACGTCACGTAAATAATACTATGGTTAACTGATGTGCATTTGTAGTCCAAGAATAGTCGATAGAGCCCAACGAGACAGCCATCAGAGGAAGAACTGTAGACGTGTAGCCTACAATTGAATTTTGATTCATTGTAGAAGGCGACATAGTAAAGGGCAGGCTATTCTCCTCTCGGGGAGGAAGAAAACATGGCCTTGAACTGGGGCGTCAAAATAAACTCAACACGAGGTATTGTAAGCAAACTTATGCTAAGTTACCTAAGCCTTTTTGTCATTTGGGATCAAGGTCCCGAGTTTTCTTTCCTCCCCCTGAATCCAGCTACGTTAGACCCCTTTTGGGGTTGGGGGCTGCGGGATTCACCCACTACCTTGGGCTGCCTAGTCAGCCTTTTGGCCGGCCAGTGACGCCTAACCGTTACGCTACTAGCCCCCGTAAGGTAGAAGTGTGTGAAATGTTTCCCAGATCCACCTGTTGTGGATTAGGTTATGGGAGATATGCCATCTGCCGCTGAGCATGTTTTGCCTGAACGCTTGTGACCAAGTCTTCAGGGATAGTGATAAAGAGAGGGAGGTACGGGTATTGAGACCCGGCGAGTCTGTGAGAAAGAATTTGATTTGCTGGCTGGTTTGAGAGGATACCTGGTAAGTTTCCCGAGTACCTCTGGAGGAAGAGTGGGCAGTTAGACGAGTCGGAGAGTGGTGGCGAGATTCCCTTGGCTAAGATTGACGAGTTCCTTTGGGAGATGCTTTAACGAAGCATTCCACCTGAATGCACATTGAAGTACTGTGATGCGTTCAAGTCGACACGTTGACTGCCGGAAGGCATCTCCTGCGACTTGGAGCTGCTCCTGTTGCGAGGGTCTGCGTCCATCCTGAAGTGGAGTTTTGAAGTGCTACTGAGTTTGATGCATCAGGGAGTGGGAGCTCATTGCGAGCGTTGTCTTGTATTATCTACCAATGTGTTAGCTGAGGGTACGTTGCCCCTAAGAGTTGAAAGGTATACCTTGAACGAAGAGTTTTCGGAGCAAGAAAAGGAGGAAAAGAGGAGTATTGATAATTATCAGGCATTTGCATTAATGTGCCTATGACGCTCCGCCACTGCTCTACTTGGTGACAGCCTTGGTGTGAATTCTGTGTGGTGATATGAGGCGGAATTCCTGGACTTGGAGTGTTGACGAGAAGAATGTTTTGCGGCCGGTAATGGGGCGCCAGGATGGACAATTAGAGTGAAAGAGAACTTGAAACCTTCCCTCCTGTGAGTGATCCGGCGACTATCCCAGAGACAACGTTAGCCATGAGTGAAACGATGTGCATAAGATGGTTCTTACCTTGGGCCCCTTCCGGGCTTCGAGCGGCGGGCAGGGCATACAGTAGGCGTAATGATGTTTATACCCTGCCCACCCGCCATTGAAATCCAATAAAAACTTGCCCCCAAAATAAAGAAAAGTCATGCTTCATTGGTTTGGTCCATGCTGAAGAAGTCAGCCAGGTTGGCGGCATCAAGCACAGTATCAAGAACTCACCGGATTGCCCGCATGGACCAGCCGAGTGCACCGATGGCCACTTGAAATGTCGGTAGTGGCTATTGAGGAGTCAGTGTGTTCATGCCAAGATCGAAGGAGACCAGAAGGGGTGACTTTACCTGTGTTGCGGCCATCGGTGCACATTTTGGGGGCCGTCCAGCATCGGGCTTAAGTTTGCTGAATGTTTGATGATTTGTGGAAAGCCCGATACTGGACGGCTAGGCCTTGTTGATGGATGAAAGGCTTGTTGGGATAGAAAAGGGGGATGGCAATTTGTGGTGTTTGTTGTGAGGAAGAAGAAAAGAGGAGAGGGAAGAATAGCGGGTGGGCTTTTATAGGATGGAAACCCAGAAATGAAGGCAGCACAGGAAGCACTAAAGCCTTTGGGGCCCAGGGGTTCAATCACTGAACCGCTTGATCGGGTGTATTGCCCTCCCTAGGTGCGGCCGTCACTCCTTTGCTTTTCGTCTGATATCAGTTTGTTGCAGACAAACAATGTTATATTTTGTTCTTAGGACCCCAAATATCCATTTGATAATATCAAGCAAGTTCTAGATCAGCCTCTCCAGTTTGCATCATCTCGTGCATCTCCTGGTCGGTCTTCTATTGCTCGCTCGCGACCGTCTTTGAATTTCCCATCAAGGTAAGCATACCCTACAGTTCGAACAGCCCATTCTGCGCTAATTTAATGCATAAGATGCGTTCTGTATGCTCGTGGAACCAAATGCCCTGTGAAATAGTCACGGATCTCCTTATTGTCTACCCAGAACTGAACCTTCAGTACCGCCAAGGCCAAATCTGACCCTGCCCCGAAGAACGCCTCCTTTCCAGAACTGCTTTCTCTCATACTGACTCGCCGAATATACCGATCGTCAGGTATCCTGCACGATAGTCTCCCTAGAACTCGCGCTCCACCTCGGCTGTGCCGAACCTCGAAGCACGATGGCGAAGGCTTCCTTGACTGCGCAGCCACGAGACGTGCCCCGAAGATCAGATAGAAAGCTTGACAACAAGCTAGAAGAGACTCGCCACATAAAAGCTATTTCCGGAAATCCCACCCTCCGAGGCGAGATCTGTCCTGACCAAGAAATCCTACCGAAGGATCAACTCCAAGGTCAACCTGGAAGCTTCGAAAACAACGCTTAAGTAGCATGAACGAGGAATGATGCAGCATTTCTTGTACATTTTTATCTTTATTTCCACGCAAGGGTGAGCTTGGTGCGTATCGTGGAATCGATCTTTGCATGGAGCACACAGAGCCAGGGACTGCCAGAAGAATCGATAAGGTTACCGTTTACCCACCAGAGCTTCAAGATACAAGAGAAGACTCGCCTTACCAGTGAATAGTAGAGAGGTATATGCTTTACCCCTATTCCACCTCTCAGCCAGTAATCGACAATCAACTGGGCACTGGACCCTCAGTGTCAGGGTGAAGCCTCCCGACCCAGCATTGACGTAGGTTTCGAGGTGAGTACTAGCGTACCGACCACCCTGATAGTTACTTTGAGTCCATATCCCGAAGTGTTGGAAAGCTAATCATATCCAGTCTTAGATTCCGTACTTACGTCCCGACTATCGAGCCAACCGTCGTCTTCTATCTCGAGCGTATTCCTATATCAAACTTAAACAAGTCGGACCGCCTTGGCCTCTCAAGTTTGAAAAATTCCACACCAAAAAGTTCCCTAGTGTGCAATTCGAAGGTCACGACCCCAGGGTGCCCCCTTGTTCTCCTCTTTTGATGTCTCAAACAACCACTAGCAACTTGCCGGCCGCTGAACAACTCCGATCATATCATCTTGGCGACAGTTCTTCTATTTGTTTTGTCTGTACAGTTTGGAGATTGGAGGCTGGAAATCACGGCGAATCCTTTGCTTGGCGAAGTTATTCGGAGTCGTGTTGCTTTGTAAGTCAGGCTTGTATTACTGTCCAACGACAAGTCACTTTGTTCCTCGTTAGCAAAGCTTTGTGTGTGAAACAATCTGCCTCAGAACACTAAAGATATCTTCAATACACAGCATGCTCGGCTGACATTCACATCTTCTCCTGGGTATTGCAGGGTGCGGCCGTGCCTTTGGATCTGGTTCGTTGACTTTCATACCTTCGATACACCGAGCCATTCTGCCGGGACATCTACTACAAATGACGAAACCCCCATTATCCAACCCTATACGAGCGAATTGAGCCCCTGAGGCTACTCGAGCATTGAATAGAACCGAATTCTTCCTAGATTTGTCGAAGTAATCCGATCAGACGGTTTGAAAGACGACGAGTTATTCGACGACTTCAAATGCACGATCAGCGTACCCAACTTGAATAAAGACCAACGCAACTCACGACATCCTCGAGAACGATCAATAGATTTACAAAGTATTTCTTGGCTCGTCTACTAGGAACTATCGGCCGAAGTAAGAGAGCGGCGGCGATTCGCTGCTATGGACCGACCGGGTGTCCATGCTGCTTATATGCGCGGCCATCCCAGCAATGGACGGAATGATATCTCGGGCCGTTGTGAATCAAGACGGAGGCCGGCAATTCATGGACCGCGTCTCTGGCCATATTACCAGCCCCCATACATTCGGGGTGCCTTTCCTTTTCAAGGAGTCCGGTTTGACTTCTCCGCCAGTCTGTGTGGACCTTGGGCCGATTCGTTCATAGAAGACATGAAAGTCTCTTTTTATTTGTACAGGCGACATTTAACCCATTTCCGTCGTTACTCGTCGGTCACACGGATGCCCATATTGGTTGAACAGGGTAGTGGCTTGAAGTGTATGTCTCCATCTCGGTCTTCAAACACTCAGGGGCTTGGGGTTGGCAGGATGGCAAAGGTATCTGAAATCGAGCGAGTCGTGCTGACTTGATTTGCTAGCCAGATATTGGATTGTTGGCCAAGAGTAGCAACTCTCTCGTGACCACTACCTGCACGAAGAAGTGCCCAAAGAATAGCTGGCATTTTTGGGGTTCTTCTGTTTGGAGGCCGACGGATGTAAGTGGACTTGCGTTTGGTCCGTCAAATGAGTCGGACAGAATAGACGACGGGCATTAGGAAGAGGTCTACTGGGCCTGTACTCAATCTACGTAAGTTTTTGTTTGTCATCTAGGATAGATCACAAATTTTTCACTAGTGACTGGATATGGAGACAGGCCATGTTGAAAGGCCTTGTTGGATATCCAGCTTGGTGGCTTACTGTCTGTTCACCCACTGATGTTTTTCGAGTCTCATGTCAGATAGTATGTGCTCATGTGAAGTATCGGAGATCCCAAGGTTGGAGTCAGATGTATATGTAAACAGCAAGCATAGACAACGAAAGAACCGACTCGTTGTTAAAGAGGTTAGCCTTCCATTTTCAAGTCTGAGACAGTCTTTGGACCAATCCATCGAATCTAAGCAATACTTGCACGAAGAATACAAGAAGATAGCTTTCCCTGCCATGAGATCCTATCAGAGGAGCTCGGACACAGCCAAAGCCAGGGGTATCATAGCCAGGACAAGACCAGGTACCAATCCCGCCGCAGCATTACCGGGAGCAGCTGTAGTGGCCGATGGTGCATCACTTGCGGTGGCGGAAGCATCGCTGGCTGTGGCGGAACCACTTGTCGCTGCAGTAGCAGTAGCCGTGCTGGTTTGCGTTGACGTACTCTCCTCCTTCAACGCCTTCTCGTACCGCTCAACGACAAAGTCGACCACCTCTTTACCGTACTTCTCAAAGTAGCTGCCATGGGTCTCGTTGTTGTTACCTGTGTCACAGTACACATCGCCAGTGTCACAGTAGGAGCGGAAGATGTCGCTGTAGTTGTCCTCGCACAACTTTGTCTCGTTGCTGGGACGTTCGAAGATCTGTCATCACGCGTTAGAGTTGAGACTGGTTCCACGACATGCCGTTGTGCACTCACTCCGTCGTTTTTGCTAGTGCCCTTGTCGTACGTCAAGTTTGCCACGTGGCTTGGGTCGCCGAATGCGATGACCGCAACGACTGCTTCATTTAGTTTCTGTGTTTGTAATAGATAGATGCCTGCAAGTTTGGCCATTACTCACCGCTGTCTTTGACAAGACTCATGGTCAAGGGCTTGTTTTCGCTTCCTCCACAGAGCACATCGGTTGCAACTTGTCCACCCTGATCTTTTGTTAGCAGTGCGTCTTGCATCGTTCAAGGTCAACCAACCTGAGAGTAGCCAAAAACGGCAATTTTGCCATTAGGGCACGAGCTGTGATAGTCATCGAGGGCTTCAGACAGGGCCTTGACACCGGCATCCTCGGAATCAAAGTAGTCTGGGTCTTGAAGAGTCGCGGGGTAGTCAAGAGGGCTGACAATTGAGCCATTGACGCGTTTGCTAACATCCTCTGCGATCTCGCCGATTCTTCCAGATCCCTTGTCCTCGCCGGTGCCACGTACAGCAATCATGTACAATCCATCCGCGCATTCCGTTTTCTCGCCCTTCTTTTGACTGAGGACGGTGGCCGCAAAAACGGCAGCAGATAGAGCGAAGGGACGCATAGTGGCGGTGGAGGGTTAGAGTATGACGAGAATTTGTAAGGAAAGATGAGAGTCAGAGCTGTGAGAAATGGGTCAGTCAATTTGCGGACAGGTCCGGTGATTGGGGGTATTTATCTCATCTCCAGAGGAACCAGCCTCTTCTAGATCGACCAGGTTTATGGCATAAATATTCGTTTTTGGATCGGGAGCTTCCAATGGTGGTTTAGTTCGTAATAAAACGATGGAGAATCCTTGTAACCCCGCAGGATGTGATCCGAGGTTTGTCTTAGCTTTGGTTTGGTATGGGGCTAGTGGATGAAATTCCTTGTGAGAGGTGAAAGGATAAAGAATGGCCAGACTTATTTGCTGTTGATGTCGATAGTGATAGCGATATGCTTTTGATGGTGCAAGGTGGCTTTGTTTACCTGCGATAGGTCAGAAATCAAACTTCACATCGACACTCTCCAATTATGCTGTACTATCCCAAGCCATGCTGACTGAATGTATAGTACCTAGTTGCATCCGATAACATAAATGCATCGAAGGAGCAAGATGACTGCGCAAACAAAAAGAAAAACCTTGAGAATTTTCATCTTTGCATTTGACGAAGCATTTGGATCTGTATCACTTGGTGTTGTTGAACGTTACACACTTTCATTACCTCTGGGTACT